CCAAGAACAGAGAGGTCCTCACAGTGAGCGTTTCTTAGAACACCTACCTGGGGCTGGAGAGCAAGAACCAAAATGGGGAGAGGCTGGAGGTGGTAGACGTTGGCAGCAGGGGGGACTTAGTGCTGTGTCCTCCCCCCCCCCAGTGCACTCCCTGGAGGAAAGAATGCCTGCTGCTCTGTCAGCACCAGCCAGGAGCTGCACAAGGACACCTCCCTCCTGTATAACTTCAACTGGGACCACTGTGGCAAGATGAAGCCTGCCTGCAAGCGCCACTTCATCCAGGACACCTGTCTCTATGAGTGCTCCCCCAACCTGGGGCCCTGGATCCAGCAGGTACAGGGGTGTCCTCACCCCACCCCACCCCACCCCACCCCACCCCAGCAGGCTGCCCTCCAGCTCAGTCAAAGCTGTGGCTGCCAACAGGCCTGGCTGAGGAACCTTCTCATATTACCTCCCACCCAGGTGAACGACAGCTGGCGCAGAGAGCGTTTCCGGAACGTGCCCCTGTGCAAAGAGGACTGTGAGAGCTGGTGGGAAGACTGCCGCACCTCCTACACCTGCAAGAGTGACTGGCACAAGGGCTGGAACTGGACCTCAGGTGAGGGCTGGGTGGGTGGGGAGATGGAGGTGGGGTTTGGGCAAAGGCGGTTTGAAGATTGGGATTGCCTGAACATCTCTCAGGTAAGCAGGGCTGGATGTCCGTGTCTATCCTCTCTCCCGCTGCAGGATCTAACAAGTGTCCAGCTCAGGCCGTCTGTCGCACATTTGAGTCCTACTTCCCCACTCCTGCAGCCCTGTGTGAGGGCCTCTGGAGTCACTCCTACCAGGTCAGCCAATACAGCCGAGGGAGTGGCCGCTGCATCCAGATGTGGTTTGAGCCGGCCCAGGGCAACCCCAATGAAGAGGTGGCGAGGTTCTATGCCTTGGCCATGACTTCTAGGGCCATGCTCCATGGGATTGGGCCTCTCCTGCTCAGCCTGGCTCTGATGCTGCAACTCTGGCTCCTTGACTGAGTCCAGCTCTTCCCAGAGGTCCCCTCTGTCTGTCCCCAGCTTTGAGGCACAAGGATCAGTTTTGGCTCAGCACAGGTCCACAAATGAAGCTCTAAGCTTGCCTCCATGCATTACCTATCCCTCTGTCAACCAGTTCCTCATGTGGGGCTTGGGGTTCCTCTGACAGCCAGTTCTAATAAACAGACAGACATATTTGTGTCTGATGAATTATTTTGGTTGTGAGTTTATGGGTGCATAGTGGAGAGATTCATAGGCCTGGTGCATGAAATTTGTGCACTGGGGGTGGGGTCCCTCAGCCTGGCCTGTGCCCTCTCGCAGTCCGGGAGCCCTTGGGGGATGCCTGACTGCTGTGGAAGCAGCAGGAAAGGCTCCCACCACTGCCACTGGGCTCCCCAGACTTTAGCCCAGCTCTGGGCTTCTGGCTAAGCAGCGCTCCCCCTGCAGGAGCGCACTGACCACCAGGAGGCAGCTCCTTCATTGAACGTCTGCCCCCTGGTGGTCAGTGTGCATCATAGCAACCAGTTGTTTCTCCATTCAGTTGATTTGCATATTAGCCTTTTATTATATAGGATCCATATATATAGATTTCAGAGAGGAAGGGAGAGGTAGAGAGAGAGAAACATTCATGAGAACCATTAATCAGCTGCCTCCTGCATGCCCCCTACTGGGGAATGAGCTGGCAACCTGGTCATGTGCCCTTGACTAGAATCGAACCTGGGACCCTTCTGTCCACAGGCCAACGCTCTATCCACTGAGCCAAACCAGCTAGGGCAGTTTTTGGATTCCTTCAGATTAGAGCAATGAAACCTGGGTTTCAACATCAGCTCACCTACTCACTATGTGCAAGGAAGCAGTTGCTTGACTGCTCTCAATCTTTTTCCTCATTAAAATGGGGCTAATAATCCTTCCTTCCCTCAGGGTTGTGAAATATAAAGGAGCTGTTGCCTAGAAAGTCCGTGAGCCCAGTGTCTGCACATTAATAGTTCTCAGGGATCCTGTTGCTCTTGTAGCCCCAAGTAAGAGTCAGGTCCAGGACTTCATTATTTATATTGGTCTGTAAATATCCCCTATCACCCAGGCCTTGTCTGTCTGCCTCTGTGCTCAGGTCTGCAACGAGAAAGCTAGGGATGGGGGTCCAGAGGTGAAAAAATAATTCACAACGGATGTGGACTAACGGGGCAGAGTTGGGGCTTGGGACCCTCACAGTAGGAAGAGAGTGTAGGAGGAGGGCAATCGGGGAGGTTCCTGGGGAGCAAATACTCAAGTGCCTTGAACTGGTTCCGTCAGGCTATGTTCTGGAGGTGTGGCTGGAAGAGGGATGGGAACTCTTACCTTTGTCCCCACCTGGCAATGGATGCCTACCTGGGTGGTGGTGGTTCTGTCTTTGCACAGTCCCCGGGAACTGGGCCTCGGTTGCTTTCTGGGGCTCTCACTTCCCCCTTCCTCCCGAGTCTCCGAACTCAGACTGCAGTTATGCCTAGAGAGGCACCGATACCTGTCTGACACCATCAGGCAGGCGGGTGATCAAGCTAGAACCAGAATGCGGCCTGAGTACTCCCAGTCCAGGTCTCTCCCTGCCGCCCTGGCTGCCCCCTCTAGGCCGACTCACCTTCCCTCACACCCAGAGGAGACTGACTCGGTGAGACAAGTCCGGCACCGACTGGCGGACGAGTTAGTGGGTCCCTGCAGGGGCCTGGCGACACTGCTGGGTTCGTGGGAGGGTCTCCCAGTGACTATTTACCAAGTTGGGGAGGTCCCACCGAGCCCCCTCCGCGTCCCAGGCTCTGCTCTAGCGGGAGTAAGTCAACGCGTATTTGAAATACGGTAGAGTAAGGAGCTGGTCGGGACTCAGACACTCCACTCGGCAAAATGAAAGTTCTCTCCCAGGTTAAAGGGGCACCTGCGGCAGCCGTCCCGGAGTTGGCGGCCGCGGGAGCCAGGCTGCAGGCCTGCGCCTTTAAGGAGCCAGGGGGCGGAGGGGCGGGGCAGGAAGCGGACTCCCCGCTGGCGCCACGGGCTAGGTCTTTTTTGGGATGGGGCGGGCAGCCGGGCGACGGGCCCCGCCCCGCTTCCGACCTCCAGGTGCCTGGCCCTCACCAGGCGGGAGGGGAGGAGAGGGGAGAGAAGCGGGCCCGGGGTGTCGGATCAGCCCGGGTTTGGGGGGCTCCCCACTCGGCATCCCGCCCACAAAGGCTCAAGTTTGTTGACTTGGAGAGAGTGGCCGGGGGCGGGGGCGGGTGCTAAGAATACTCGTCCGCTCGGCCGCCGCGCTGTGCAGTTTACACAGCTGTCACCCCTGGGACTCCTTCCTTAACCATAAACACAGCCGCCGTGTGGGAGCGCCTCCCGGGTGCCAGGCCCCGTGCCCAGACCTTTCCGAGCGCAGCCCCATGGAGTCCGCCCTCATCACCTCGTCCCCACCTTACAGGGCGGGAAGGCTCGGCTCGGCTCGGCGTGGGGCCGAGACTCGCCCGAGGTCCCTAGGCGGGTCGGCGGGCCGGCGGCTCCGGGATCCAGACGCGGGGCCGGGGAGGCGGGGCGCGGTGCTGCCCGGGGGCGGAGCGGCGGGCGGGGCGGAAGGCGAAGGGGGTTGCGCGGCGGCTGGCCATCTTAAGTGGCCGCGGAGAGTCTAGGGCCGCTTCCCCCGGGAAGGGCGCCCCGGAGCAGCCCAAGAGGTGGGGGTCTGCGCGCGGCGGCCGCGGCCCTGGGGAGCGGTCGGGAGCCCACGGGTTTGCGGGAACTTCCTCCTAGACGGGCCGAGGGAGGCCTGGGCTCGGGCTGCTGAACCCCTCGAGGCCAGGGCCTGCGGGGATGGTGGATGGTGCCTGGGGACCTTGGCCAAGAGGGGGGAAGGGCTCTGCTCGGGCCCGAGAGGGGTCTGCCAGAGAACCGTGCGTTGCGGTTTCAAGGACACCGAACCTCGGCCGGGGGGTTTGATAGGGGATCGAATCACT